TTATCGCCCGCACGAAAACACAACAACGCTGTTCCTTCCCCTTTATCATAATGTTGCTCGGTTTGGAGGATCGAGTAGCCTCTCCACTAGTGCCCTTAATCATACTACAGCACCCGCTCAACGCTCGCTGGAAGCTACGTACCAATGCTTGCCAACAGCGGCAAATTGGCTGTTTTATGATACCAGCAACCACTCTCTTGTTTTATTTTTATTTGAGTTTAAGAAAGCACCTAACCTGAAGTCATAAATGCGCAAACAGAAACAAGCAATACACGGGTTACGTGGTGGAATGTGATCGAAAGTATTGCCAGATGCCCGACGATGTACCTGCCACAGTGGCATCGTCGGTGCATGCTAAATCAGCACTGCTGATCACCGAGTCTCCTGCTTGTGGACCACAAGTTGTGGAGGAGCTCCGACGATGCCTCACGTCGATCGCAGTGGTGGCTCCGCTCGGGGTCCGGGTGAGGCTGCTCAAGTCGTGCGGCGAGAGAGCGACGAACGTAGGTACAAAACGCACTCGAAAATTCACGCCATCTTTCGCGGCGGCCATGTGGTTAAGCTTTTCATACAAAACACTTGGAAGTACCGGATCAAGATACACTCCCCTGTAGTACTCTTCCGCCCAGCTTGAAATGCCACAAGGATTTGCTTGCCATGTCTTTAAGCGTGGACACTCTTTGCTCGAAGCCAGTCTCACCTCTTCACTTGCTTTCGGCATTGTGGGTTTTGGTCTTTACACCATCGATTTCGGTGGCTTTTTAGCTTAGCTTGAAAATGGGGACGACGTCAGCTGGTCGTAATGTTTTGGTGGCGCAGGCCTTAGCGTTTGGTCTCCTCTCCACCGCCGCCAATGCTGACTGTGCAGCGGGCTCTTCAACGCTTACAACCGAAGGTTGTTCGGGCTGTGGAGAATACGATTTGTGTCGCGGCTTCAGCTCACAGAGCGAGTGTTCAGGTTCTGGATGTGAGGTCGACGGTGAATGCACCTACGAGTGTATGAGCGTGGGACCGAACCTCTCTACACTGGTTGTATTGATCGAGTTTGGCGGCTACAAGAGCTCGAAGGAAGTAGCAGCAGGAGGATTCACCTTGTCCGGGTATCCAGATTTAACGAGCGAGTGGCCGTCGGCCAACAACGACGATGTCACGGCTGTCGGTACCATCGACTTGTCGTCCGCAGTCACCACTTTGTACGTTAAATTCTGAACTGGTATCATCAACTCAGACTTACTCTCCTGTGTGCTTATACTGTACCAGTATAATGTCGGGCGGAACTGCCGATGTCGAGTATCCTCAAGGCAAAGTGGCGAGTTTGACGTTGACTTCGGACTTTATTTCGGCAGCCTCAGCGGTGACCAAAGTGGTGCTACAAAATCTCGATCTAAATGACGAAATTGCCTCGCTGTCAACGCTACTTCCATCAACAGTGGAGAGTCTTGACCTTGCCAATACGTTGTTGTCGTCATTCCCAACAGAACTTGGTACCCTGACATCACTCCAACAACTGTACGGCCCGAATTCAAATGCTGATCATGATAAAATACTGATGATTTTGTTTTTGTGTTGCCTAGGCTACTGGATTACAACTACATCACGACGGTGGACTCTTTGGACGTGATCGACTCGATCATTACACTGTACGTGGCAATAGAATTATAGCTTTGCGGGAGATTAAGCTGACGCTTTGTTTACAGGAGCATCGAAAGAAACAGTTTAACGACCTTCTCGGGCGTATTTACTAACTTGGAATATCTCTATCTGGGCGCCAACAACCTCACGAGCGTCCCAACCGCAATCTTCAGTCACTCGAATCTAAAGACATTGTACGTATCAATTCTAGCGTTAAAAATTGGCAATCTATCTAACTCTTCTTGCTCTATAGAAACCTGACTGGTAACTCGTTTACATCTCGATCATTCACCACCAAACAGGCAGAATTCTTGAACAACCTGGAGACGCTAGTGCTTTCTGCTTCCGACTTCACTGTGGGTTTAGACTGTGACGACATGGATCAGGTCGTAGTACATGATGTGACGGTGTGTCTTAACGACGTAGTTGCCACTAGAGAGTCCAGCTCGGCCGGTGTGGATGGATCTGATGCGCAGCCTTCATCTTCTTCGGGTTCCTCGTCAACCAGCTTGATCCTAGGGATTATTTGTGGACTATTAGCTGTGGTCATCGCTGCAATTATCTTCATTTTCTACCGACGCAAGAAGAAAAGCTTCGTCGATTCCAAGCTAAGCAGCAATGCCGACGACCACTTCCCCTCTTCAAGTAACAATCGTGAACTGAGACAGCAGCCGTACGGTCAACTGAGAACCTCAACTGGAGTTCCTCTGGGCATTCCGATGAGTACGAGTGGCGTTGCGATGGGTATTCCAACAGAGACGCCTGAAGGTGACGCTACTACAGGAATTCCAACGACAGAGGAGGCTGATACGTATCAGTTAACCTCGTTAGATGCCGCTCCAATGAGAAAGAAGCCACACACGTTCCTGTCGATCTGGAGCGACCCCGAGCTGCTGTCACTCCAGGTACGTGTGGAGGACATTGAGGACGTCAAGCAGCTCGGCAGCGGAGCTTTCGCTACTGTTTGGCTCGTTGAATATCGAAAGTCACAGCTCCTAGCGTCCAAACGGCTTCGACCCGAGCGCCGTACCAAGAAACACACGTCGAATTTCGTAGAGGAGATCAAGTTGATCGCCAACTTCGATCATCCAAATCTGGTTAAACTCATCGGAGCCGCTTGGACAATCGAGAGTGACCTACAAGCGCTACTCGAGTACATGGACGGAGGAGATCTTAGACAGTATCTCTCGGACGCGAGCACTCCGTTCGGCTGGTCGTTCAGGAAGTTCGATATCGCCATCGGGATCATCGAAGCGCTCGTGTATCTGCACTCGTTCGTGCCTCCTCTAGTTCATCGAGACCTCAAGTCAAAGAACGTTTTGCTTTCGTCAGATTTCCAAGCCAAATTGAGTGACTTCGGTACGTCGCGCTTCCGATCGGTGGAGAACACTATGACGGCGGGGGTTGGGACTGGTCGGTGGTTAGCGCCCGAAGTGATTCGAGGTGATACCGACTACGGCTGCTCCGCTGATATCTACAGCTTCGGTGCTCTTCTTACTGAACTGGATACAAACCAAATCCCATACAGCAACGCGCGCGGCTCCAATGGAAAAGTGTTAACGGACATGACGATCCTTCATCGTGTCGCGACGGGAAAGTTGCATCCTGAAGTTCGATCGACTTGTAATGCGTCCATGAAAGCTTTGATCGAGCGTTGTCTAGTTGAAGACCCGTCCAAGCGACCTACTGCCACTGTTATCGCGTATGAACTGCGAAAAAATCAGAAGGAGATGGCTGCCTCTTTATAGAGAAGAAGGACTGCAAATAGTGAATTTATTCGACACGATGTCAAGCCATTGTGTCTTGAACGTAGGATCTCAAGTAATTAAACAAGAAATTCGAGTTCCTAACTTGCATTGACCCTGTCAGTCAAGATCACACGAAATAGTGTGTAGGTTGTCCATGAGGCGATTCTAAACGGAAATGACGGACGTGTCGTAAACACTAATGCCTGTCCATTTACCCCTCAGCTCTTTATCTCCCACGGCGTATAAGCAATTGATCCTTCACACTGTGACGTTCCTGCCCCATCGCTCGACGTATCTCGGGCACTTTACATTCATCGTTCAACATGGACCATCTGGTCTCAGTAGCGATAGTCGTTCCCTGGTTCGGCTTGGTGGAGGCACAGACTGTTTTGCGTCAAGGATTTGGCGTTGAGTTGGAAACTCCAGTGAGCTAAGCCTACATCTGCCAATGTCGCTCCTTTGCATTGGCACTTTGACCCCACGCTCAGTTTGGAACTGCGAGGCGAGTCTCATTAACGCTGGAGAATGGCAGCGATACTTCGCTCTCGTTGTTTCGCGGCGTTGGGGGTGGCGCTGATTGCCATCCCGAATTTCGTTCGTGCCGAGTGTGCGTCGGGGTCTTCTACGCTGACAACTGAGGGCTGTTCGGGATGTGGCGACTACGATGTGTGCCTCGGGTTCACGTCCGATGACGAGTGTTCAGGTTCAGGCTGTGAGACGGACGGAGACTGCACGTACCAGTGTATGGCCATCGATGGTAACCTCACCGTAGAGGTGTTGTTGATTGAGTTCGGAGGGTTTAAAAGTGCCCAAGAAACGGCAATGGGCGGCTACACTGCTGCCGACCTGGCTGGGTACCCAGATTTTACAGATACGTGGCCATCGGCGAGCAATGACGACGTCACTGCAGTCGGAACGATCGAGTTATCGGATGCAGTTGAGACTTTGTAAGTTGATGCCATAACGTTGATGATTAGTCGGAAGAGTGCTTATCGTGTTTGTGCATTGGTTTGTGTAGCATCGTGTCGGGAGGAAATTCTGATGTCAACTATCCACAAGGAAAAGTCTCGAGCGTGACCATAATGTCGGACTTCATTTCGTCAGCGACAGCGGTGACGAGAGTCGTGCTGCAGAACCTTGGACTATCGGACCAGGCTGATGATCTACCGGGCTTTCTTCCGTCGACTGTGAAGAATCTCGAACTGGCCAATACGCTGCTGACGAAATTCCCTGCGAACCTGGGGAAAATTACAGCACTGGAGCAATTGTACGTATTGTGGCTTATGATTGACTAGACTTTTTTTTTCTTCTAACTTTCATTCTCGACGATGATCAGGATTTTGGACTACAACTACATCACGACTGTGGACACTTTGGACGTGATCGACTCCATTACGACGTTGTATGTGATTGGCACTTGTGTTTGGTTTTGTTAATGTAATGTTCTTTAATTGACTAATACTTTCGTTAATGGTGTACGCAGGAGTCTGGAACGCAACAGCGTCAAGACTTTCACGGGCGTGTTTTCCAACCTTGAATACCTGTACGTGCCCGGAACGCTGGAAAGCGTAGGGAACTACTGCTCAAAATTTTAAACTAACTGGTTCGCTGCTCGTTACGTAGATATCTTGGAGAGAACAACTTGAGCAGTATCCCCACTGCCGTCTACAAGCATTCGTATCTGAAAACACTGTACGTGGACAGCAGAATTATTCCTGTTTTTATTTTCCTGCTAACTTTCGATATGACAGAAACCTGACTGGCAATCCGTTCAAAGTCAGAGAATTCACTCGCGATCAGGCTGATTTCTTGAACAATTTGGAGACGTTGTACCTCGCCGCCTCTGATTTCACTGTGGGACTGGAGTGTGATGATAGCGAACAAGTCGCTATCCACGACGTCACAGTGTGTCTAGGATCTGGAGTCACCGCTTCTTCCACAGATACCAGTGCCGATGCAACCAGTACCACTACAACGGATACGAACAATGGCAGCAAAACTACGTCTTCAAGCTCCAATGGTTCAGACACGAAAGTGTCCAGTACATCTGAGTCCTCCTCCTCGTCGACAGGTATGATCGTCGGAATCGTTTGCGGAGTGTTGGTCTTGATTTTCGGAGTGTTTCTCTTCATTCTCTACCGACGAAAGCAAAAGAATGCAGCACGACGCAAACTTGACGACTCCTTCGGGTTTACCGGTACACGCTTTCCCTCAATAGACAGCGACCTTGTACTACAGCAGCCGTACGGTGGTTTAAGAACTTCAGCAGTCTTCGGTATGGAAATCCCAATGACATCTACAGAGTTCTCGATGGCCAATCAAACCGCTGGAGGTGACGAAGATGACAGTATGGGGATCCCTACGTCCGTCGATGGTAGTATGGGTATCCCCACATCTAATCAAGGCACTTCTGCGTATCCTTCGTCCATGCCCACAGTGGAGGCAGATGCAAGGAACCCCGACCGGTTCATGTCGATCTGGAATGATCCTGATCTCCTGTCGTTACAAGTGCGTGCAGCTGATGTTAAGGACATCAAACAACTCGGAAGTGGAGCGTTCGCTATGGTTTGGTTGGTTCGGTATCGGGATTCGCAACTGTTGGCGTCAAAGCGCCTTCGACCCGAGAGACGAACGAAGAAACACACAGCAACGTTCATCGAGGAGATCAAGCTTATCGCCAAGTTTGATCACCCGAATCTCGTCAATTTCGTCGGAGCAGCATGGACGATCGAGAGTGATCTGCAGATGCTGCTTGAGTATATGAACGGAGGTGATCTTCGACGATATCTGGCGGGTCCTCGGACCCCTGTAGGCTGGACTAGAAGGAAGTTTGATATCGCTATTGGAATCATCGAAGCGCTGGTATATCTACACTCCTTTGTGCCCCCACTAGTTCATCGCGACTTGAAGTCGAAGAATGTGCTTCTCTCGTCGGATTTCAAGGCAAAACTGAGCGATTTTGGCGCCTCAAGGTTCCGATCCGTGGAAAACACAATGACTGGTGGTGTCGGTACTGGTCGGTGGTTAGCGCCTGAAGTGATTCGAGGCGATACGGACTACGGTCCGGCTGCGGATATCTACAGTTTCGGTGCACTTCTCACTGAATTGGACACCAACAAGATCCCGTATAGCAACGCACGAGGGTCGAACGGCAAGATTCTGTCGGATATGACAATTCTTCATCGTGTAGCAACGGGAAAGTTGCATCCTGAGGTGGGGTCGGATTGCTCACCCGCTTTGAAGGACCTGGTGGAACGATGTCTAGTTGAAGACCAATCTAAACGACCAGCGGCTACGGTCATTGCGTACGAACTGCGGTTGATCAAAAAGGACATGGCGGAAGTATTTGCGTCTCAATCAGCCGATTTAACCATGAGTGAGCTCAGTTAAGACCGCAATGCTGCGGTATGTGTAAAAAATATTACAACCGATATTTGCTGAGACGGAGTTTAATGATGGTTCCCCACCGATGACAAGGTTAAATTACACAGAACCAATGGCCTCCAGCACCCAGATCACTGGGCTGAAATATCCAAGCACTTGATTTACTTGGATAGGTGCTTGCTCCGTTCGCGGAAGACACCCATCCAGCAGCCTTAATATGTCAAGATGAAGGGGGCGTTGAGTATTCTGCAATGGTAATTTTCACCACCAGCGTCGAGATAAACAGTTTGTTGGCTACAAAGTGACGATATTCCTTCCCACACCACAGTATACGTAGCAAGAGATCTCAGAATATGAGCCTTGCAAAAGAAGAAGAAGAACAACAACAAGGCGCGCGACGTGGGGCAGAACTAGTGAGCGTCCTTGAGAGTCAGTGGGGTAAGTAGACATCTAGCCAACTTTGGGCAATGGTAGCACTGAGATGTTAATGCTGAGCACCGCCACGACCTAGTGGCGAGGCTTCGGGTGTAACGTGGTGAAGCGAAACTGCCGGATAAACTACAAACCTGCAGCCACCGTGATCGTTATGCATATCTTTGGGCACTTGATTCATGACGATTGCGTTGGCAAAAACTCGAAAGCATATGCAGACGTATTGCGTTGCCTCGGAGTATCTCTAAGATACATGCTATCCCGTCGGGTTGCAGGCTGCAACTTGCAGCACACGCCTTCAAGAGCCACGCTCTTCGGGCGAAGTTTGCCCGCTGATTTGTCCGTGTCGGCATTCAGCCACTGGCCAAGGCATGCAGCACGGTTAGTACATGTAGTCTACATGATGCAGATAAATACATGACCGCTGTACAGTGGCACTGGTGCCTGCAACTGCAACTAAGCACCGCAGCAGTTACTTACCGTCGGTTAGTAAAGGGGTTGTCACGGTGATCCTGTCGCAGTAATGGTTTTGTGCTTCTGATCATTTTCCGCACACGTATCCCTTATTTGCATTTTAACGGCACCGGCCAACAGCAAGCACTAGCGCAGACTCCGCTCCGCAGTGAAGCACCGATACGTCGATTACTCTGCGTTTTGACTTGGATGGATACACGCCAAGTTCTGTTCGTATTGCATGGCTTAGCGTTTTACAAGGCTAGTATGGTCTCTATAATCGAGGGTGCGGGCGTTACTATTGAGGGATATGGTGGAGCTGAGCGGGGCATCGCCACGATAAATCAAGTGTGGGTGCAACACCACCAAGTGCCTGGCTGTTCGATACACAAGTAGTTCAACCGGACCGCCGGCCAGCTCGATATTCTTGTGAGTTTTTCTAGCCTGTAAAGTAGGCCCCGAGATCGATGCTAATCGACCATTCAAAGCGCTGACCAGCACAAGAGCTCGAGATTCGAACCACTAGATAGCGTTGGCATTTTCCTGCTTTTGGTGGAGAATGCAGACTCCAAGCAACAAAGTCCATCCTTCATTCTGATACGGTACAGTGTAGAACTTCAGCCGCATCTTAAATTATTTTATTTTTACATTTTCACTCGTTATAAACTCGTCATCGTTTGCATTTTATTTATGGTGAAGGCATTTATGAGCATTTATGAGCATCGATGCCGGCGATCTTGATCATATCGCCTTACCACGCCTGGCGGTAAGCGTGCATTTACAATCTGTTAGATTAAAATGCTGACTATCGTGCTGACACTTCTAACCATTTCTAGCAGTGATGATCACTGCACGGTCACCGTGATCTACCAGCACATCCTCTGAACTAGGGAAAATAAATCAAGTGCAGGACACGCTTCCAGCAGCTGAAAGTCTGATACTACAGCTAAGTCGCCGACAAAGTGAAGGTTGGGCGCAAAGACGGTCTCGTGAGCTTCAAGCAAGCTGTCACGGCCAGCTTCAACTTGGCAATTAATCCCATGGCGTCTTTTAGTCCATGGTCAAGTCGACGTGAGCCAGCCTTTTACTGTCTGCACCTTGTTGTTTTGAGCTGTAGCACCGCTCTCTTCTTCATTCCCCAACTTTCCTCGCCTCAACCAAGTCTAGTCCAGTCAACTCACGTCAAGTCCTCTTAGCAATGGCTGCTGGTGTCGTGGTGAACGCTCATAACGACGACGCGGATGACGTCCCGACCGAGGGTTCGCGCACCTACGCTATCATCGTGTGTGTCTTCGCCGCTCTGGGTGGTCTCTTCTTCGGCTACGACCAAGGTGTGACCTCGGGTGTCCTCATCATGGACTCGTTCATCTACGACTACTGCGTCGGCTGGCACAACTTCACTCACGATCAGTGCACCGCCTCCACGTCCGAACTGCCGTCCGAGTGGGCCGACTTCACTGTGTGGTACAACATGGCGTACAACCTGGGCTGTCTCGCAGGCGCCTTCATCGGCGGTATCGTCGCTGACAAGCTTGGCCGTCGCGCCACCATCTTCTGTGCCGGTCTGCTCTTCTGCATCGGCACGTCGTGGGTTTGTTTCAACAAGGCCCAGGAACACGGTCTCATGTACATCGCTCGTGTGGTTCAGGGCTTTGGCGTGGGTAACTCGTCGTTCTCACTGCCTCTGTTTGGTGCCGAGATGGCCCCCAAGGAGTTGCGTGGTCTGCTCTCTGGTTTCATGCAGATGACTGTTGTGACGGGTCTCTTCCTGGCCAACGTCGTTAACATCATCGTGGAGAACCGGGACCGCGGTTGGCGTACCACCAACGGTGTAGCCATGGCTGCCCCGATCGTTGTCATGCTCGGCATCTTCTTCGTGCCGGAGAGTCCTCGCTGGACGTACTTGCACAAGGGCAAGGAGGAGGCGGAGCGCGTGCTCAAGCGTCTCCGTCAGACCGACAACGTCGGCCACGAGCTGCAGGTGATCGGTGACCAAGTTGACGAGGAGTTGGCGGCTCAAAAGGGTCTGGCTGAGCTGCTCGAGCCGTCTATCTTCAAGCGTGTGGCTATTGCGATGATGCTCCAGGTACTGCAGCAAGCCACGGGTATCAACCCCATCTTCAGCTACGGTGCATTGATCTTCAAGGACATCACCGACGCCGGTATCTACTCGGCCTTTTTCCTTTCCGGTGTCAACTTTCTGAGTACCATCCCGGCCATGCGTTGGGTGGATACAACTGGTCGTCGCAAGTTGCTACTGATCGGTGCCGTCGGTATGGTCACTGGTCACCTGTTCGCCGCTATCCTATTCACCGCTATCTGTGATGGCAACGTCGATAATGCTGGTTGTCCTAAGGTGGGTGGCTGGTTTATCTGCGTTGGCTCGGCCTTCTTCGTCTTCAACTTCGCCATCTCATGGGGACCTGTGTGCTGGATTTACCCGGCCGAGATCTTCCCGTTAAGCGTACGCGCTACCGGTGTGACGCTGTCGACGGCTGCCAATTGGGCCATGGGTGCTGTCATGACGGAGGTGGTCAAGCTCTTCCCGCACTTGAACATCAACGGTGTGTTCTTCCTGTTCGCAGGTCTGTGCTGCATCTGCGGCGTGTTCGTGTACTTCTTCTGTCCGGAAACCAAGGGCATCATGCTGGAGGATATCGAGGCGCTCTTCGACAAGAGCAAAGCCAAGTCGCCCCACTTCGTCGAAGTCAAGTCCCCCATCGAGAACGCGTAGAAGGTGACTACAAGTTATGCACAAAAGCATCCTTTCGATACATGCAGCACAGTCGAGTCTATCTCTTCCTTTGTTTCGTAACGATATGTTAATGAATTTGAACTTTGTGCTTTACAAGTTGTAACTTGGAGTAATTATTAACAACTTTTAGCAATACCTTTAGGCAGAATCCGCTGAAGGCATAGAGAGCGGAGTGACTGCGACGTCCATCGGGCCCTTAACGGGAATCGTTAGAGAGAAATCGTACGTCATTTCCCACGGATCCTCGACAGTCTTGATGTCGAACTTGCTGAAGAGCGTAGCGAGCGTCAACTTGATCTCCATGAGCGCAAACTTCATACCAAGACAAATGTGTGGGCCGGAGCCAAAGCTGCTGAACACAAACGGCGAGAACGTAAGGAGTTTCCCCGTATCGGGGTCAAGAAAACGCTCTGGTTTGAACTCGTGCGCGTCCTCCCCCCACGTCCTCGGGTTGCGTGCGTTCGCGTACGATGGCAAGAGGATCGACACTTCCTTGTCCACGAACGTCCCGTCGACGAGCGTGGTGGCCTCAGTAGCTTGACGCATGATGAAACCCGTGGACGGATACAGTCGGATATTCTCACGAAGCACCGCCTCAAGGTACACGAGCTCTTGAACTTGTGCAGAGGTGGGGACCTGGACTTCTCCAGTGAGCAAACCCGGGAGCTTCTGCTTCATTTCCTCGCGTATTTTACGCAGAACGTCCGGATGTCGGTTCATATTGACGATGAACCACCCGATGCTGTGGGCGACGGAGTCTTTGCCGGCGAAAATGAAGGTTGTAGCCATGTCCCGCATGATCTGGGCTTCGTCCTCCTTAATGTCCAGCTCCGACGTATCAATCCTGCTCTCTAGGAAGAGCGAGATGAGGTCACGAGCCACTTTCTTCTCGCGTCGGTCCTCAATAGCCTTCAAGATGAAGCTGTCGATAAAATCGTGGAACTTTTTGCAATTATCCATCAGGATCTTCTCCCAGCCGACGTTAAGGAATTTCTTAATCTCCCAAAGCCACGTAGGCGTCTGGATCCGCACACCAAACGCCACCGAAGCCACATTGAAAGCCTCCAGGAACTCGTGATCCTCCTCGCGGTCAAAGGTATCTTTAAGAGTGTTCAACTCAATGCCAAAACCGATTTTAGAAAACACGTCCATGGTAAAGTGGCTTAGCTCTTTCTTGATGCCAAAAGGTTTGCCACGTGTTGCATACGTGTTAAGAACGTTGAGAAACACTTGGAGCTTCTCGCGTACTGTGTCTTCCATTACCGTTCGCATCATTTGCATGGAGAAGAGATGACTGGCTGTTTTGCGCTGGTAGAACCACGCGTCACCGTCTGATACCGAGAGACCGTTGCCTAGGACGTCGAACGACTGGTACTGGCTCACCGGGCCACGAAGGAAATTGTCGGCTTGGGTCTTGAGTACGTCCTCGAACAATTCACTTGACGACACCACAATCCACGGTTCTTTACCGGGAATCTTCAGTGTCCACGGTTCGTTGTTAAACTCGGCGCACTGCTCGCTGATCCAGTCGTGAAAGCGCGGGATGTTGCTGGACATGTCCAACATGTTGCCCAGCACTGGTAGTGTGGACTTGGGCACGTGAGCCATTTTGCGTTTTTCCTTCTTGTCATTCGGTCTCGTCAGATACGAGAGCAAGAGACCTAGAGTCGCCACTGTTGCAGCAGCCACAGCGGCGTCACGTTTGTCAGCGGGCACGAGTTTCATCGAGTCTCACGTGTCGAATCCAGTTCTGGTGGTGCGAAGCTGCAAAAACGTGAAATGATCCATGGACCTGGTGGGCTTCCCGTGGTGGCCACGCTGGCCGAGGGAGTGGAGGGAATGAAGCCACCCTGCTCACGTTGCAAGTCTCTCTTATTGAACCAGAGGGGATCTGCTTGGACACTGTCCAATGGACAGCAACCGGTCCAGTTTTTTTAAGAAGTCCCACCATGGTCAACGTGACATTGGTTAAGAACGTGTGGACAAAACTGACTCACAATGGTGGGCTTTAATTGGCTAACTAGGGTACATAAGTTGAAGTTATCCCCCCCCCCCCATACAACCAGAATTGTGCTGCGATCTGGATGCTTAAGATGGCGCATGGTGCAGTTATAAGTGATTGAGTAATTGCAGCTCATGTTTGCCTCGCCATCGATTCCAACTTTAGAGCGTGGTCAAAAGCGTGCTAGTACTAAGGCATTATTGCAGAAGTATTATGCTTCGTCATGCCACCTCGATCGCTTCTGCGTTGATAATTCCGTACCATGATGAGATTCATGGGATCGACTTGATGCTTTAATTACTTGTCGAAATCTGCTGCTTTGTACTTCTTTCTGTGCGTGATCCAAGATTACCATGATGGCCGCTTCATCGGCGTGCTCGTGATTAATTATTCGTGAACTCGACTCCTCTTTCGGAGCGCATTCCATCGCACAAACGGGAATCACAGTGCATGTGGATGAACTAGATCATCACCGTTGATTTTATAGTCGTGTTGAGTGCTGTTTACCACTAGAAGAGATAAGAGTAGCAACACTCCTCGTTGAATGCGGTATGCTCATTTGCGAGAGGAGCGGCACTAGGAGTTGTACGTCGTAGTACTTCGTGTATAATGGTTGCTTGATACGAGTGGAGTGCCTTCTTCATTAGCTTCGAAGCCCAGCGTGGTTTCCGTACCGTCGTAATCTTCGTGTTTCAAGTACTGTCGACCATGCGTAAGAGCAATTCCAACGACCACTACAGTGAGGAGTATAGCGAAAATCCAAGCAATCGCTGGTACAGAAATCACCCACACATTGAACATGTGAGGGCACAACAAGGATCCAATGGTGCCGCCTAGTCGACTGAAGCCAAATGCGTAGCCCACACCGCGACCACGAACTCCTGTAGCGAAATTTTCCGGTGCGTACACTAGAATACAGCTCCAGCTTGCAGCGAGTAAAGCAGCGACTGTACAAGTTCCTACCACGACAAACGGACCGTTCCACGGAGCGTGACTCGTCAAAACTGCTACAACAGCGGCTGAAGTGGCAAAGCAGGCCAACGTTTGCACTCGACCATAGTCGTCCAGTACAAATGACGCTAGCAGACAGCCAAGCACTTGAGCCACACCAATAAGAACCATCGTACTCCACCGTGAGAATACATTGAATCCCCACAAACTAATGAGCGTCGGAACGTACGTGCCCAGAGCGTACGCGGACAAGGCCACCACCACCCACAACGCCCAAAGCACCAGCGTGCGCACCGACCAATCCAGCGTCTTCATATCCACCGATACATGTGCCGTAGAATCGCCCTGCACCGCGTATGGCGCTCGCTTCCCGTGTGCTTTCTCCACCTTCCCCACTACCATTAGCGCTTCATCTGCCCTGCCCACACTAGCCAACCAACGCGGAGACTCTGGGACTCCAAAGCGCAGCACAGCCACGTACAGCACGAACCCGCAGATGATCACGTACGAGGCTCTCCATCCAATCTGCGGCGCTAAACCAAAGGCCAAAACCACACCCAGAACTCCACCCACGCCTGTAAAAGATTCTAGCAGTGACACCATGCGGCCTCGCATTGGAAGCGGCGATAATTCCTGCACTAATACAGTGGCGGCCGGCAATTCACCGCCGAGTCCGACGCCCGCCACAACCCGCGCGATAATGACTTGATAATGCCGGGTCGCGACGGCTGACAGCAGCAGACCTGCGAGTGATAGGGACATTGCCATCAGCAGAGCTGACCGCCGTCCATGCGTATCCGCCACGTGACCAAACACTGGACCTCCTATCGCTGCGCCGACGAATATACCGACGCCTAGCGCTTCCAGTGCGCGGGTGCCCATGCCGACATTGCGGGCCACGAGTTGTCGCGTGAACAGGAAGAGCACGAGCTCAGCAGTATGCACAGCCCAGCTGATACCTGTAAGCAGGAGAAGACGGACGTAGAACCAAGAGAGACGCGCGTCTAGGGAGTCAAGACGGCGGTGAACATGAGCACTTGACATAACCGAGTCGGACGTGAACTGGAAAACGTCGCCGACGGATCCGAATGAGCCGGCGGCCGTGATTTGCTGTCCGCAATCTGAGTTGACATTTGAGTTGAACTCACTGAGCTGAATCTTCATGAAGAGCTACACGTACAGCGAGCCCAGTGCTCAAATAAGCGATGCTCATCTTGTTTGAATAATTAGTGGTGACTACAGCTCTGAATACAGCACTTCCTGGCTGTGTATGATGCTAATGTCGTCGTAATGCCGCTTCCAACTGCGGATTTCATGGCGCTCGTTGCTATCTACCGTCCACTGGATCACACGTGCCCGACGAGCGAAATCGGACGCGCCGTACGCCCGTCCGAAGCCCGTGCCGCCTCCATAACAGAGCTGCACGCCATCTACTTGACAGCAGTACTCGTTCACGTGGTCGTGGCCCACGAATGCCGCCTTGACCTCGTTCATCTCAGACAATGTGGACAGCAAACGCAGATTCATGCCTTGGTCGTGCACCCACTCGTTCTTCTCGCCGTTGCAACCGCTCTCCGAGTACGCGAACTCGACCAACGGGATGTGGAAGAACATGACAGCAGGCAACACCGAGTCGGTGCTGCTGTGTCGCTCCACGCGCCCGGTCTCCGATAACTGGCGGTAGTAGTCGATCTGACTCTGTTTAATCCAATCGTACTGAGAGAATACGTACGGGTACTTGTCCGTGAGCGCATTAGCACCTGAGTCCAAGAAGTACATACGGAATACAGTGTCGCCTTGGTCTCCCCAGGCGCCAGCAATTGGCGCCGTCACATTAAGCATGTAGTTGCCAACGCCGTCGACGGACTCCGGTCCGCTGACCATGTATGAGTGGTTCTTTTCAGACAGCATCTCGACTATCCTCTCTCGTGGGAAGTCCCCCTCCTGGTCGTGATTGCCGAACACCATTCCGTAGGGAATGTTGCGCTCCTCGGCCGCTCTTGTGAGGGCGTCAATGGCCCGTTGGTGCGTGCTGGGGCCGTACACTTGCACGTTGTCGCCCGTGAACGCGATAAAGTCGGGTTGCTCCACGTCCAGCAACTGCTCCATGAAGGCGTACGTGAGAGCCTCCGAACAGTTTTGGCTGGCCATACCCGCCGGCACGCTGGTGCCGCAGCCGACGGTCGGGATGCCTGTGATGTGGAGGTCGGCCAGTTGAAGGATCTTGAACACCAGCGAGGTGTCGTCTGAGCTATTGCGAGCCTCAATCGGCGCCTTCTGCGCAGCGGATACCGCAACGCCGAGCGCGGACAACAGGGTCGCAGCGAATCTCATGGCAACAGCAAGTCTCACGTCGAGTGGAAGTTTGGAAATGGCTGCTCTGGATGTGATGTGCCCGGGAAAGGGTCGGATTTGGAGTCCGAATCCTCGCTTTTGAACAAAAACGCTCATGGGACTTCATAAACTGTCGGCTAGAATTACCGCCGTTGATGGGGTGTTGGCGTTGGACACGAACGAACACGGCCCATTTGTCTTCATCAACACAGTTGGTGAAGCTCCCGGACTGCTGCTGTACTGATTGTCCTGGTTAGTAATTTGCTGGAACCTGATCAAGATATCGGAAATGTCGGTAAGAACGAGCACAGCTCACAACGTTATCGTTGGACACTCATGAGCCTTTCGGCGTTCTACAAGGTGCATGTACCGCACAATCGATCTGCACGTCGCATTTGATGCTTACGCGGTGAACGGGGGGCGAAGTACACGTAATATCGTGAATTATATGCACTGAAGAGATTGCTGTTGAGTTTGTACAATAGCAACGGCGCGGAGAACTACATACAATACATGTTCGCATATTGCGGGGTTACGAAGTCTCGGGCTCCATCTTTCATTTAATCGATTGTACACGTTCATTCGGTACCCCGTAAACAAGGTCAAGTTAGTGTTTACTTGCAGGTTGCAGAATGAAACCCATTTGCAAATCACTTCCAGATTGGAGACACGTCGTGCCTTGACCCTGAGCTTGTGAGTCCACGTTGCATATCCAAAAAAATGTACGAACTTCACAACGTGAAGCAACTTGCTAGACGAGCAACTATTGTTCAAAACCTTAAAAAAAAATCTTTTTTTGCATCTCGCCTGCATCAACATTTGTCGTTGAGATTCAAATTGCTGGTGACGCGTGTTTCATCGGCAGTTGCTAAAAGGCTGCGGATATCATGTGAATACAGTTGAAGCGCGCTCATCCATGACGTGGGCCGGTGATCCCATTTGCATCCCGAGATTCGTCCAGAGTTCTCACCGAGTGCAGCACGCTCATATACACATCAAGAAAACTCGGACAAGGGTTCGTTCCAACAAAACGTTAGCAGTCATAGTCTGTCAGAATGCAATTCACAATGCCGCCTTCAGCCCCCGAGACGCCTCGATTCCCATCTTCAAAGGCCCCTTGCGCTGGAGCGAGTACCGTTCACCAACGCCTGGATGCTCTGGATGCTTGCCTCTCGTGGTTCTACGTCCGGCTACTTCTACTAACTGGCGTTAGTTGGGCGGTACACGCCGCCGAGCTTGTACTCTTTACCTTTACTCGACGCCTCGTCGCCCACAACGTAGGTATGGGGACGTACGCGCTGGAAGCACTCGGCGTCGGTGTCTTCCTTGGATCGGCACTCGGTGGACCGCTTTTCGGTCTTCTTGCTGACGCTCGTGGACGACGCTCAGCTCTGCTCTTTGCCATGACTCTATCGTTGGTGGGTCTGGCACTATCGGCCATGGCTAAGAAGGACTATCATGTGATCGCTGCGAGAATTCTTGCAGGAATTGGCCTTGGTGGAGAACTCCCGGCTGCTACGGTCCTAGTACAAGAATTGGCACCAAAATCAATGCGAGGTCGCATGGTTGCTTTACTCGAGGCTTTCACTGGCATAGGTGGCGTTGCAGGTGTAGCACTGGCCTTCGGTGTAGCGCCTCAACTAGGATGGAGATCTACTTACTGGGCGATTTGCGGATGTGTGTTGTACGCGGGGGTGCTGCGTTTCGGTATTCCAGAGTCTCCGCGATGGCTAGCAAGTGTGGGTAGAGTGGACGAAGCTCTGTGTATTGTGGAGAAACTGGAACGGGCCCATGGAAAACGAACACGGTACGATAATCTCAAGGTGCAAGATGCTCCACCACCGGTGGAATCTGCGTCAACTCCACGTGTGAAGGTAGGATCCGACACAATTGTCCAAACGCTGGTACTGTGGACGCTGTGGACTGTGATGGCGATGTCATCTTATGCTCTGGGAGTATACGTCCCGACGCTCATTAGTATGTCTGGGTTTAATATGTACGAAAGATGGAGCACCATTGCGTCGCTGCATGGATCACAGATACTCGGCTGCATTGCAGCGTCATGGATGCTAGAAGCGCGAGGTCGCAAGCAATCTCTCGGGTGTTTCGCTACGTCAGCGTCGATGATTGTGGTGCTACTGAGCTACATGCCTTGGTACCCGTTTGTTGTGATTATTGGAACTTGCTCCGTGTCCGCGTTACTGGCGGGAACCTGGAGCTGTGTGTTAGCGTACACCCCTGAGAATTACTCGACGGGAGTGCGAGCGCGCGGGGTTGCGTACGCGTTTGGCTTAAGCCGAATTGGGGCCTCCGGTGGTGCTCTACTGTATCCTCACATGTTCGACGTGTGGCTCATGTCAGTGCCTGCTATTACGTGGGTGTTTGCTGGACTGCTAGCTGCTACAGTTCTCGGGGTTGTGATTCCCTACGGTTTTGATCTTCTAAAGGATGAATACAGTGACGAAGTGGACTCGCAGGATTCGGACACTGACATGGAGCTAGGGGCCGACCATGAGACGGAAGATGCTCCCCTCGTGGTAAACGATGGTGAAAGCAAGTAAGTGGTCAAATTATATTTTAAGGTATCGAGAAGAAGCCGTCGATGCAGTAAGAATCGGAGAAATTACCACTGACGGCTAGTTCACGGGCCTATGCCTAATCCTCGTTGTTAACCTTCTTAATACTTTCTATTCTTTTGAACGGCGTGGACTCCACATCAAAACTCCACTGTGTGAAGTTCGAAGTTATATGCTCCTCTCTACAAGACACTTCAACGACTGCAACCGAAAGGTCGACTTTGTCCACTGGACAGTCCAGGACTGTGCTGCAGGGATGTGGAAATATGTCGCAATTCGATTAAAATTGATGATGAAGATCTGCGGACTGTTCACGCAGTCAACAAGTGTCCAGCGTGTCCAGTAAAAATCACCATGATCCAAACCGTTGAGTGTTGACGCGGTACTTGTAACCGCACATCGCTATGCTTCCTCAGTTTTCGATTGGTCCCGACAACCAACAAGCCAACTTACGCCATGCGGTACCAAGCTGTCGAGTCACCAAATGCACAGCAGGACTCACTTCCAGTTCCTCCTCGCAAGGTTCTGCATTCCATTGATGCTCGGCTGAATGCTCTAGAGCCTCGTTTATCATGGTTCTACGCTCGCCTATTACTACTCACGGGTGTAAGCTGGGCGATTCAAGCGGCTGAACTCGTTCTGTTCGACTTCACGCGAGTGCTCGTTGCCAATGACATCGGAATGTCGACACTGGTCCTCCAAGTCTATGCGGCCAGCATCTTCATGGGGTCAATAGCCGGAGGCCCGATCTTCGGTCACATCGCGGACCAGTTTGGCCGTCGGATAGCCATTGTGATTGCAATGGTGTTTTCGTTGGGAGGCCTTGCAGTATCGGCTCGTGCAAACGCTGGGAACATATTGATTGTTGGTCGCATAGTTACTGGTCTTGGCTTCGGTGGACAGCTCACCTCGACGGTTGTTCTGGTTCGCGAATTGGCTCCTCGGTCCATGAGTGGACGCGTCGTGTCATTACTCGACGCGTTCACGGGGATTGGCGGTTTGATCGGTGTAGCGTTGGCTTTTGCTGTGGCCCCACGGTTGGGATGGCGCACTACATATCTCGCCGCGTGTGGACTTGTGCTGTACGCAATAGTGTTGCGCTTCACTGTTCCAGAATCACCGCGTTGGCTGGCTAGTGTCGGACGCACGGAAGAAGCTTGTGCTATTGTGGAAAAGATCGAACACTTGCACGGCATTCAGGCGTCTGGTGATAACACGCAGAAGACAGAGCTCGAATTTACGTCTGCTCTGGAATCTCCATCATCGTCATCGGCGAAGACTCCGCTCCTCAAGCGGTTGATCTCCACGCTCGTGCTGTGGATCTTGTGGATCGCTATGACCTTGTCGTCCTACACACTGGGCATCTACGTTCCTACGCTTATCAGCCTCAGTGGCTACAACGTCTTTGCAAGCTGGTGCACCATTGGTGGGCTGAAAATCGCTCAAACGGTTGGTTCGGTCGCAGCAGCAACAGCGTTGGACTCGTACGGCTTTCACCGCTGCTTCGCTATCTTTGCAACTTTGGTTACTATCTTCTCGGTTGTATTGAGCTATGTCACTTGGTCGCATGCGGTAGTCACTGCCATTACCTTCGTGGTGACTGCTCTGCTGTCTGCATGCTGGAGTTGCGTTCTGGCGTATACCCCAGGACACTTCACGACAACCCATCGCGGGCGTGGAGTGGGGTACGCTGTTGGGGTCAGTCGTTTGGCTGCCGTCGGAGGGTGTTACCTGTACCCTCATATGTTCAACGTGTGGGTTCTATCCGTGCCTGTGCTGTGTTGGATCTTTGGTGGCGTATTGACAATTGTCGCTGTTGGCTTTTCACCTCGCTTCGGTTACCAGCTCCTGGAGCAAGAAGATGACACAGACTCTTGCGCATGGACATCGGCAGCTGACCTGGAGAATGGAATGTCTAGTGCTAGTGAAGAGCGCTCAAATGGAGCTAGCGCCGCCGAAGAGAGTAGATGAACACCTATTAGATAAAATAAAGAGAAACTGTAAGTAGTGTTAGCAATGCACAAGTGAACAGAGCTTTGACGTGGTACTACAAAATGCACGAAAAATCAGAAACGGAAAAATAACTGTGCGACATAATTTAGGCCAAGAAAAACCTTCATCAAAAAATACATGTTTTCACAAAATATGACATTAATGAAGCCCGTGCTTAAATTCGGAATGTAAAAATATCATTGAAATGTCTTCAGATTAAATTCGGAGGCAAAAACAATTTGAAATGTATTCGACTTGCAGGAAAAATTACCGCTTCTGATGATTCACGAAGCGCATGGCCAGAAGCGTGAGCACACGGAAGAAGACCAGGAACGCCAGCACGATGGCGCAGTTGCGCCAGATCTGGCTGTGCTTCATGAGGAAGACGTCTTCCAGGTACTCCTTTACGGTGAGATCCGACGGGAGCGACGGCGGGACGTTCGTCATGTGCTTGCATCCAACGTCGCTTCCATCGCCGTCACTAGGACAGTCACCAAACACAATCGTGGACATGGCGGCGAGCGTGTATTTCTGCGGCGTGATGTGGTACAGCCACTTGTAGCCCGTCGGGAGGTCTCCGGCCGGAGGACTGAAGCCCATGAACAGGAGGAAGATCAGCGCCATGAGCATCCCCAGAATCTGTGCCACCTCCACGTTCGGCAACAGGAAGACGAGGAACTCACCGATGTACGCCTGCAGTAGTACGTGCAGCGACACGGTGAGCCAGAACGTGAGGAAGGCTCCAAAGCCAGTGAAGCCCACCATGGGGTAGAACGTGGCCATGAACAGCATCACTGCCAGGAACGTGTACGGGATCTCGGCCACACTGGAGCCGAAGAAGTACCAGAACGCGTTGTACGTCTGTGCTGCTCGCTCACGATAAAAGACCGCTCGTTCTTGTGAAGCGATGGGCAAGGCGCTGTTGAACGACCCGATGCCGAGGAACCCAACGGCCAGGTACATCATGCCCATCCCCGAGTTGATGCCCGAGTACGAAGTGTACTCGGCACCGACGTACGTGATACCGAAGACGAGACCCAGCACCAACGACACGAAGAATCGGGTCAAGTTGAACGAAGCCGTGCGCCAGTACATGTTGAAAAAGCGCTGCAGTAGGAACTTCATCTGGACCATCTCGGTCGCAGCACGTTTTTCGCCGTAGGTCAGCTCAGGCAAGTCCGGGGACGGACGCGTCACACCCTCGCGATCGAGATTCGACTGCAAGAATTCAAAGTGTTTACTGGCCTGGAAGATCTTCACGAAGTCTGTCTTGTCGCCGTTGCTGTTGCCGACGCCGGCACCGATCACCTCTAGCATCCACGTCGCAGGGTTGTAGTTGTCCTCTAGCTTTGCCACGCCGTCGATTGACTCGAAGTACGAGATCATCTTACTGGCGTTCTTACCCAGTTCACCAGCAAACACCGTCTCACCTCCACGCTTCAGCAACAGCAGACTGTCGAAAACACTGAACACTTCACTCGACGGCTGGTGGATCGTACACACCACCGTACGTCCTGTGTTCGCCACCTTGCGCACACCGTCCATGATAAGCTTGGCAGAGCGAGCGTCAAGTCCACTCGTCGGCTCGTCCAAGAACAGCACACTCGGTTGAGCTGCCAGCTCCACGCCAATTGTCAATCGCTTCATCTGCTCCACGGAGCTGCCACGGATGATCTGGTCGGCGATCGGGTGCAAGTCTAACAACTCCAAACACTCGTTCACCGAGTCATACTTGAAGCTATCGGGCACATCGGCTCCCTGACGCAGGAACGCGCTGAACGTGAGCGCCTCACGGATGGTAGCCGACTCGGAGTGAATGTCCATCTGCTCACAGTAACCCGTGGATCGACGGATAGAGAGGTCGGTGGCCGGGTGGCCATTCAGCAGGATCTGGCCGGTGATCTTGCCTCCAGTCTTTCGTCCAGCGATAACGTCCATGAGTGTGGTCTTACCAGCACCCGAAGATCCCATGAGAGCGGTGATCGTACCGGGTAGAGCGTATCCACTGATACCCTTGAGCAGGTCGATGGTTTCTTTGGGGTTGGCCGGGTCGGGAACAGTGTACCAGAGATCTTTGAATGCGACAGTAACCGGGATGAAATGTTTCTCGCTGTCTGGGGCAACTGAGACCACCGCCTCGCTTCCGTTCGGCAAGCTCCGGGGAGTGCTCATCAATCCGTAGTCGTCCGACGGATTGCCCTTGCTCTCCGAGTCGAGCGTCACATTCTCCGGACTCTCGTATCTGTGGAACTCCAGCGCAATGTACGACAGGAACATGAAGAAAATGTACGCGGCCGCCATGAAGACAATGCCGTACCAGAGCCAGAATTTCTCCGACGGTACCTCGAAAGTACTGAGCGAGTAATCTCCGACGGTCTGGTTGAAGCTTTCGCAGAAGTTAACGTCGCCGTAGACACAAGTGTCGAATGTCGAGTCGCTGTACTGGTTCACAGCCAGAGCGCGCACACACCAAGCGATGGGGTTGATCCAGTAGATCCAGATGAGGTAGTCGGGGATCTGCTCCTTGGTGATGACGAAGCCTCCGAACAGGATGAAGAAGAGGATCGAGACACTAGAAATGGGGTTGGCCACGTTGAAATTCGGCGCGGCGGAGGCCAAGAAGAAGAAGAAGGCCGTGAAGGCGAGGTTGGTGATGCACAGCATCAGGATGAACAGGATGAAGGCCCCGATGGTGTCCACGAAGCCGCACATCCAGTAGACGATGGAGCCGAACACGATACTCTCCAACAGGATCGGAGGCAGCTGACTGGCGGAACTCGAGAGCACGTACGACGCCGTCCGGAAGAAGTTGGCTCCGCGCTGCTTGTAGAAGACCTCACGTGCAGCCATGACTGTAGGGATCTGAGCGGACTGACCCAGCGACAGACACAGAACCGACGCGAAGATGACGCCCATGACCAGCTGTGCATTGGTTGGGTTGACCTGGTAGAAGACACTGGAATACAGCAGTCCCATGATGGTGTTCATGACCAAGCGGCCGACGAGCGCGGCCGAATCACGCAGTGTGACTCTCATCTGTCGCTTCATGAGTAAGGCGGTGCTGTCCCAGAAGTTCTGGTGGAATTCTGGCTGTGCGTTCATGTGCAGCTCCTTGTCATGCACAAGACCGGGGTGGACTGGACTTTCGAGATCAACGAGCAGTTGGTGATGGATGGACGAGCGCGTGAAGGCGTCGGCGAACTCACTCGACGTACGCGGGATACAGACGCCTGGGGCGACTTGTACCTCGTACTGGACCTGTTTGCTGGTTCCAAGATCCAGCAGGAAGTCAGCGACGTCGCGACGTGGAGGACACTTGAAGCCCAGACTCTCAAAGTAGCCCAAGGCCTCAGCGCGCGGACCGTGATACATGACATGGCCCTCGTTCAGGATCACCACGTCGTCGAACAGCTCGAACACCTCGGGCGATGGCTGCAACAACGAGATCACCACCGTCTTGCGGAACTTCTTGGCGATACTGCGCTGCGTGGTGATAATGTCGAAGGTGGCGGCACTGTCCAGACCTGTACTGATCTCGTCCATCATCATGACGTACTTGTTGCCGAACTCCATCTCGCCCGTGGTCACACGCTTACGTTCTCCACCAGACACACCTCGGGTCATGGCGTCACCGACGATGGTGTTCTGACAGTTGTCAAGTCCGAGCTGCTGGATGACGATGTCCGGGTAGTGCTTGAACATGGCTCTGGCGGCGTCAAGAGCAGCCTTGTTCTCCTCGGGTGTACCGTTGGTAAAGTGCTGCTCGTCTCGCTTCGATAGACCTCCACCGCAGCAAGCGTGCGCGAACTCGAGCGTCTCTTTGACTGTCAGCAGCGAGTAGTGCTTGTCTCTCTGAGTCACGTACGATACGAACTGAGGAAGGTGCTTCTGCATCTCGTTGGCTGGTGTGCCATTGTACGTGACCTCGCCCTCCAAGGTGATGTTCTTTTCGACGGGGAACCGACCACTGAGCAGCTTCATGAGCGAAGACTTGCCGGATCCAGGCTGACCGAGCACCAGCGTGATAGTACCGGGCTTGAAGACACCGCTGACGCTCTTGAGTACCTGCTTCTTGACGACGTGCTTACTAGATCGCATTTCACGGAAACCGGTCTTGATAACGTTGACTAGCGTTGGTAGTTCGACTGTGACGTCGGTCTCGTCCTTGACCATGATGTCGGCCGAGATGGAGACGTCTCGAAATCGCACCTCCATCTGTGGGAGGTTTTTGCCCAGTGCCTTCTCCATACGAGAGGCGACGTGGTCGTGTAGTGCTTGTGGTCCCTGTGCCATAAGAGTCTTGCCATTGTCGTACTCGATAGTGGCGCGCATGGGCGCGTTGGACGCGTTTTGGGCCATATCAGTTGTGAATCTGTTCCAGTTGGAGCGATTCGTAACTCAGGAGAGTTGGTGTCGTTGGTAGGACTCAAATTGCAAAGTGATCGATCTATCGGGAAGAGCCGCCGTATACTGAACGACCGCCGCGGCGAAAATACAAACGACAAAGCGTGACGGGCACAACTGGCGCAAGCCAACAATCAGAACCACAGTCAGAAGACCCGACGCAAAACAACGACCAACACAACCAAAAGAAGCATCACCGACTAACAACCACGCATAAATAAGAGAGCCAAACGAACACAAAGACCAACTGCGACACAAGCTAGAAGAAACCTGGGAAAGCAGGAAAAGATAGAACGAAATAACGGCACGGCGCGAGAGACTAAAAAGAAGAAAAAAAACCAAAAGGGAAAAACAACAAACGACAAACACGCCAAACAGGATCAGACCCATAACGCGATAAAAGCAGACAACGAAACAACCCACACCACAACTATGCAAAGGCAACAACAATAAGCAAAAGGAGCACAAACCTAAAGAAGGAACAAAAAAAAAAAAATTGAACATAACAAGCTACAAAGCCGAAAACGAGAGGGAACCTACAAGGGTAAAGCCAAGGAATTGACGGCATCAGCAAAGCACGCCCGAACCGTACAAACTCATCACAAACTGAAAAAAAAAGCAGCGGAAAACTACCATGCAAAAAGCAGATACCCCTATACAAAGCAACAACAACACAAACAAGAGCGCCGATACCCGGCACATAACAAGTCGCAGCCAGCCCAGCAGAAAACACAAAAATGCAAGTAAGGACGAACAAAAGGGAACAAACGACAAAAGTGAACAGACCAGGACAACAACCGCAAAGCAACCTAACTCAACCCAAATCAAGTACAAGAAGAGATAACCAAAGAAACAACACAGTACGAACAAAGCACAACGACGCCAAACCCACAACACCAACGGCCCAAACAACCGTCACCAGACAAAGCCCAAAAAAAAAAGAAAAAAAACGGAAACGCCAAAAAAAACAAACATAAACCACAACGACAACCAGCCCGACAGATCGATCACTTTGCAATTTGAGTCCTACCAACGACACCAACTCTCCTGAGTTACGAATCGCTCCAACTGGAACAGATTCACAACTGATATGGCCCAAAACGCGTCCAACGCGCCCATGCGCGCCACTATCGAGTACGACAATGGCAAGACTCTTATGGCACAGGGACCACAAGCACTACACGACCACGTCGCCTCTCGTATGGAGAAGGCACTGGGCAAAAACCTCCCACAGATGGAGGTGCGATTTCGAGACGTCTCCATCTCGGCCGACATCATGGTCAAGGACGAGACCGACGTCACAGTCGAACTACCAACGCTAGTCAACGCTATCAAGACCGGTTTCCGTGAAATGCGATCTAGTAAGCACGTCGTCAAGAAGCAGGTACTCAAGAGCGTCAGCGGTGTCTTCAAGCCCGGTACTATCACGCTGGTGCTCGGTCAGCCTGGATCCGGCAAGTCTTCGCTCATGAAGCTGCTCAGTGGTCGGTTCCCCGTCGAAAAGAACATCACCTTGGAGGGCGAGGTCACGTACAATGGCACACCAGCCAACGAGATGCAGAAGCACCTTCCTCAGTTCGTATCGTACGTGACTCAGAGAGACAAGCACTACTCGCTGCTGACAGTCAAAGAGACGCTCGAGTTCGCGCACGCTTGCTGCGGTGGAGGTCTATCGAAGCGAGACGAGCAGCACTTTACCAACGGTACACCCGAGGAGAACAAGGCTGCTCTTGACGCCGCCAGAGCCATGTTCAAGCACTACCCGGACATCGTCATCCAGCAGCTCGGACTTGACAACTGTCAGAACACCATCGTCGGTGACGCCATGACCCGAGGTGTGTCTGGTGGAGAACGTAAGCGTGTGACCACGGGCGAGATGGAGTTCGGCAACAAGTACGTCATGATGATGGACGAGATCAGCACGGGTCT